ATTCACGAACATTGAATTTGTATTCCACGACCTCTGCTCTTTATATTAAACTCTAAATTCTCAAGATTTAATAATATAAGACTCAAGATCCTACATTAATGCTTCATCTATCGCATTTCCTACAAACGAGCATTAGCATATGTTGTATTGCCCTCACCTTACAGCGTGTGAGGTGAGGGAGTTTAACTCCCATCCTCAAGGGTTTTAAAAAAACTTACTTCTTAGAACTTCTTTCTCTCACTCATACTTTATATCAAAATGCCACCATTAAAATTAACTCATATCCCAATTTGAAGTATTTGGACACGCCTTTTAATCAAGGCTCAAAGTGCAAAGCAATACCAAACTTTTGTTAAGCTTAACTCTCAAGATTTTATATACCAATGTTATTAGCTAACGATAAAGCACATTAAGAGGCAATTTTCAATGAATATGATAAAAACAATAGAATATAAATACACTCAAAATATAAATCACTTTATAGAAATATATAAGTACAAAATGAATTGAAAAAAGCTTACAAGTAACAACTTCAATACCTTTACCAAAAAAATTCTTACAAATTCACAATTCGCACAAATTAAACGTATAATTATCAAACAATCAATGAACTAATAAATATTCAATAACTACGTATATGTAAAAAATTATGCATCAAAAGAGATGAAATCGAGAGACTCGGATACAAAGCTAAGCCAAATTCCTCTTCATATTCCTCACTATATGGTTGTGCCGGCTGCATGTAAGTTGGTATGCTGAAGGCCATATCAAATAAAGAGAGGTCATCAATTCAAATAGAGCCAATATTCTAGCTTTCAAGTCATGATAAATATACGTTTCTTAACTTCAGCTTGTGTTGTTGAACACAATGAAAAACACGCCCTCCCACAAAATTAGGTGAAGCCTAAAACTTTCAAGCATACTTTAAACCAGCACCACAGAACCATTTTATGGTTGAAGCAGTGAGATACTTCCTCTTGGAGATTAAGTAGGGATACAAAATTAGCTGGCTATGCTAAAACAATTTAAATAGAAGATGAGTGACAAACATCCCGTGAATTTTATCAAATAATCATCTACCAAGCAAAAGTTCATCAAATAAAATAGTTCAGAACCGAGTACGCCTAGCACCCAGCTAAGCAAGAGTCGAAATTTAGAAATAGTGATAACTTGGTTTCTCAAATGGGAACAAGCATTATGTGAAAACTTCTTTATATATAAGCTCAACAGGATTTGTTTAAAACACATCAGAGCCTATTGCCAAAGGTATGGAACATCTAGATAGATTGAACACACTCACCATGGCTGCATTGTAGTACGAAATGAGCATCTTAAGATGAATATATTAAAAAACTGAAAATAATAGAATAAATAATAATTAAATTGAGGTAACAAGTGTGTAGCATCTATTAAAGATGAGTTGTCAAACTTTATCCTTAATGTCAAATATAGCAGACCCAAAACCAATTTGATGGCACACTTCTAATGTTTAGACCCACCATAAAAGCTGAAGAGGGGCAAAAATTTGAAAGAAAAAGTCACATGCCAACATTTGTTGTTAGGCACATCCGTTGCTGCCTCTCTCTCTCTCTCTCACACACACACACGCACACACACACACATATCACTATTTGAAGTCGCCACCGTTTCTCTCAATCTCATCACCTATCTTGGCTCTCTTAGTCTCTCATTCCTTCATCTTTAACAGTTTGACTTCAACCTCCATCCCTCTCTCTTGTGCTTGCAAAGTCCTCTCTCCCTCCCCCCTCACTTAACCTCTTATCCCCTTTCATGAGTGCAGCTGCCCATTGATATTAGCCTACAAGATATCCCATGTGGGTTTTGATGTGTTCCACTGCAGCTGCCAAGTGTGTTGTTGTGGCCCTATTGATGATGTTCTATCTCACTGCTAATCGCTACCATCAGGTGATAGCCTGGTATGTTAATTTTGTATGTCTAAATTAAGATATGAATTAGTTGCAGGTTCAGTTGTATGGCATTAATTAGTTTGTGCTAGTTTAATTTTGTATTTGTTTTATTTAGTTTGCTCATTTGTATGGTATTTCCCTATTTCGGTTGGGTTACATCAAGGATCAGCCTTAAGCCCATATCTTTTTGCTTTAGTCATGGATGTTCTCACTAGACATTTGCAAGAGGATGTACCTTGGTGTATGCTTTTTGCTGATAATATTCTCCTTGTTGATAAGACTATAGAGGGAGTTGAAGGTAAACTTGAATTATGGAGGTCAACCTTAGAGTCTAAAGGTTTTCTCTTGAGTAGATCTAAAACGGAATATATGGAGTGTAATTTTAGTAGTAATAGACCTAGTGAGGGGATTGTGACTTTGGGCGATCAAGTCATTAATAAGAATACACGTTTTAAATATCTTGGATCTATTGTTCAGAGTGATGGTGAAATAGATGGGGATATTATCAGCGGAATTCAAGTTGGATGGTTGAAATGGAGGAATGCATTGAGCTTGTTGTGTGATAGAAAAGTACCCCTCAAACTTAAGGGAAAATTCTATAAGATGTTAGTGAGGCCTGCAATGCTTTATGGTGTCGAATGTTGGTCATTAAAAGAGAAGCATAATACTAAGTTAAGTGTGGCAGAGATGAGGATGCTCAGGTGGATGAGTGGTTTTACCCTTAGAGATAGGATACGAAATGAGCATATGCGTGAAAAGGTTGGAGTAGCTCCAGTAGAAGATAAGATTAGAGAGAGTCACCTTAGATGATTTGGTCACATAAAACGGTGGCCTTCCGATGACCCGGTTAGGAGAGTAGAGGTATTAGATTTGACTTATGTTAAGAAAGATAGAGGCAAACCTAAAAAGACTTGGTTGGAAAATATTAGGAATGACCTTTCTTTATGAGATTTAACAAAAATTTGACTTTTTATAGGACACAATGGAGAAAAAGGATTCATGTAGCTGACCCCATGTAGTGGGATAAAGGCTTAATGATGTTGCTCATTTGTATGTTTAAGTTATTAATAATGAACTTGTATTAATTTACAGTTTTAGCTGAGGATTGTGGGTTCCATGCGTGGTGAATCAATGTTCACGATGGTGAAGAGTCAGGTGACATTAATCAGAATGGAAGTACACAATTATGGCAGCATGACACTAAATTGGAGAAATTTTATGACGTGAACTTTCATCTATTAAATGGAATTTTTGCTTAGAGGATCCTATCCAATGGCAAAGGCTCACTTAGTAAAAAATTGTTAGTTATGGATCAGATCTCAAGGAAACAAAAAACTAGTAAATGAAGAGTTGCAGGTGAACAGCAATTTGCCTGAAGAAACACCATTTAGTCAAAGTTAAAACACAAGGTGGTTTGACCAAGTATTTTCCGATTTCAATTTAGTCATGGATGTTCTAACTAGAGATTTGCAAGAGGATGTTCCTTGGTGTATGCTTTTTTATGACGATATTCTTCTTGTTCATAAGACTAAAGAGGGTGTTGAAGGTAAACTTGAATTATGGAGGTCAACCTTAGAGTCTAAAGGTTTTCGTTTGAGTAGATCTAAAACCGACTACATGGAGTGTAATTTTAGTAGTAATAGATCTAGGAGGGGGGGGGGGGTTGTGAATTTGACTGAACAAGTCATTAATAAGAGTACACGCTTTCGATATCTTGGGTCTATTGTTCAAAGTGGTAGTGAAATAGATGGGGATATCATTAGTAGAATTCAAATTAGATGGATAAAGTGGAGGAATGCATCGCGCTTGGTGTGTGATAGAAAAGTAACACTCAAACCCTAAGCTTATCTTGACAATCCCTCAAGGTGTTACTTCAAATGTATTGCAAAGTAGACTTTGCAAAAGAAATGCGGGCGTGATAGATTTATTAAGGAGATAAACTATGAAATACAATAAATTCATTTTATGCCACCAATTTTTCCGCGGACTAAGTACAAAAACTTTACTTTTGAAGGTAAACAATTTATTTAAATTTTAAATCAAGTTCTTGCTAAACCAACCTATGAAACAAAATTGAGCTGGACAAAAGTTGTAAGGTTAACTAAAGAGTCATGATTAAAGAAAATCAATATTCAATCCAAGTATTTAGTTAGCACAACAAAGTAAGATAAGAATCCATTCAACATTTTTCTTCTATTTATCAAAGTAGGTAAGCATTATGGATGACGCATTAAACATAGAAGAAATGGGCCACTAATGAACGCTAATAATGAAAAAAAATCACAATAATGAAGCAGTAATCATCACTCTCTCAAAACAGATAAGCCAACCGAGAGAAAAACATAATCAAGAACAAGATATCTCTCCATTGGCAATCCTATTAAAACTAACTTAACTAAAAGCCCAAATATTTAAGAAAAAATTAAAACACGAAGAAAAAGAATCAAGATCAAAATTACAAGGGTGAAATCCCCACCACCTCTAAAGACGGGTTGTGAACAACCTAATCTTGAGCCAATTCGACCACAACTCAAGCTTAGTTCAAATTCATTTGGTCCAATGTATGTTGGATTCTTTCTTGATCTAGCCAAGCCTGGCTCATTACGTTTGACCAGATTTGGATCCAATCTAATAACACATTTGATTTTCAAATGATTCGAGAAATTCTAGCATAAATTTTTAGTCCAACGCAAGATCATCTCTAACACTATCATATAGTGAACATAGATGCATAGCAGCATGCATTACATATATGAATACACTTGCATTAAGAGAGAGAGAGAGAGAGAGAGAGAGAGAGAGAGAGAGAGAGAGAGAGAGAGATCAGATGTAGAGCTAGAACAACTGGGCCCGGGGACGGCTCAGTTATAAATTCGATTCCAGCGAGGAATGACTCGTTAGTTAGTTGGATCATAAATTTCGATTCAAGCCAACATAAAAAACAAAAAAATAGAAAAATAGATCCGATCTTCTAAATTTTAACATATCTTCTGAAAACGAAACCAGCCTAAAAAATAACCCATGCAAAACTAACACCGGCAACTGAAACGATACAGAGAAAAAGAAAGAAACCTCTCCTGACCGGCGGTGTCCCAAATTTGAGCCTTAATAATCTTGCCGTCGACATTCAAGCTCTTGGTGGCGAACTCCACCCCGATGGTAGACTTCGATTCGAGGTTGAACTCATTTCTCGTGAACCTCGACAGAAGATTCGACTTGCCCACACCGGAATCACCGATCAGCACCAGCTTAAACAAGTAGTCGTAGTCGTCCTCCGCTCGATAACTCGCCATCCTCTCTCCTCCGCCTCTGAGATTTCTCCGAGACCAGAAACCAAAAGCCCTAATGGGAAGGCCGAGAGGAACGAGAAGAGGCGTTCCCTCGGGATTCTATATCTCGCGCGCAGCGCTTCCGTCCCCTTTTTGAATGATTTTTTGTTTTTTAGGCGAGGCTGATATTTTGGTCGGCGTCAGTCAATTCTACCATATATTTAAAGAAGAGAAGAAGAACGGAAAAGGGGTAGTTTACGTTAATAACCTTATTTGAGAATGGCACTTCAAGCCTTAGGAGAGCATTTTAAGTTTTAGCAATGAAAAAATAATAATAATTTTTTTTTGGATTTTCATTTTTATATATAAAATTTGTTGTTTAAATTATATATATTAAAAAAAATTTTAAGATTATATATTTAAAATTAGTTAATTTATGTCTATGCTAAAAAAAATCCTGACTTTGTCTCTTATATGTACTATCAAAATTTGGTTATAATAAATATTAAATTTATTTGTTTTATTTTTGCAACAATGCGAGATAAAAATATGTATTGAATTGAAAATAGTTTTAAGGATTTTAAACTCTATCCTATTTATATTGTGACCTACTTATGATCATTATGCAATAAGTAGTTCAAACTCTAATTATCATAAGATTTATTGACTATTCCAACTATTCAAAAATGAATTAATCATGATAATTTGAGGGGATCCAATAAGTAGTTCTACTTTTTTTTAGTATTATCTCAAAGTTTCTTGTGATATATATGAGGTGGCATCCACTAATTCTAAAAATAAAAGCTTTTCAAGCAAATCTATTCTTATTTCACCAATATGGATAGAAGTTACACTCCTGCATAGCTTAACATATATAGTGAAATAAGACTACAAATTTCTTAATCTTCATAGAAGTTCAAACTCTAGGAATTAAAAAAAAATGTTTTAGGGAAAATGATCATAGAGTTAATTTCCTAATTTTATGACAACCTCAACCTAGCTATTGACCAGTCCCAACTGTTGCATGGAATTCTGATTAAAATTATATTTGTATTTTGAGAACTAGGCTGTGATTGCTAATGGCTCCCAATTCACCTCTATTCAATCTACTGAAATCCTAAAGTTTTCTTCATAATGCAATGCTAAAACTGGGAAAATTATTAGGTTCAGGCACCAGACCTAAAAATAGGTCTAGATATCCAATAAAAATTTGCCACATGAACTGTGCTTTGACTGTGCTCTTTGGCTATGCTTTGACTGCGCTTTGACTGCATTTTGACTGCACTTTGACTGTGCTTTTGAAGCGCTTAACTTAAAATTCTGTGGACATGTGTATATTCCACGTGTCAAATTTTTAGTGGATGTCCGGACATATCTCTACGTCCAATGTCCGGACCTAATAATTTTCCCTAAAACTAACCCAAAGCCTCTAGGCCCTCAATTTCACTTAGGTAGGCCTTCAGTCTCCCCATCAAAACAAGAAGACGAAATATATAGTTGTATCTAAGTATTTGTCATTATCTACAATTCTACACCTAGTTATTTTGAGATCAGATTAACTTCAAGTGTGTCAGTGTCTAAGACCCAAAGGAGTAATAAGAACCATCATTTGAGGCACAGAATGGAGAAAGAAAGAAAGAAAACTAGCTCTCATCTCTCTTTGTTGCCGAAGTTAGGAAATTTAATAATATGTTAAGAGACATCGTTTGAAAGTGTGCTGATAATTATAGACAAAGGAACATGAGAGGAACGATGACTAAGAACTTCAAATGAGACTCATTTCAATGGGAGATTCTTGAAAAAAGATATAAATAGCTAGAGAGTCAATGAGACTCATTTCTTTAACAAGACTTCAATGGGAAATTCTAATAAAACTTTGGAGATCTACTAAATATAGTCACAAAGCTTTGAGAAGAGCCTAAATGACACAAGGAGAATGTTTTTTTTTTCTTTCTTATAATACCTTTACAATCAATTTTATAAAAGCTAATATTTTTTCGGGTAACGGGGAATCTATCAGCTGCAATCTCCGAACGAGTACTTGGCGGCGTGACTAATCCTTGACTAATTTATAAGAGGCACCCACCCAGAAACCTTCTAACCCGTACTTGATTGGACCCACTTAAGAGGCGCTCCCGCTCAAAAATCAAACACGAATTGGAGGTTACTCAACTACCAATCAAGCTGAATAAAGATTGGTATTTTAAAATAATTTTATAATAACTTTTATAAAAAGTTTTGACAGCTGCCCACAAAGAACACTAAGAAGATGACAGATAATATTGCGTGCACGATCCTACTGCCCTTTGGTTCACCAAGTATTTAATATTAGGGATAAAAGCATGTGAGCACAGTTGTCCAATCCATTGGCATTGCCGAACACCTGTCCGAACTATTTAATTCTATATATTTACTTGTAATTATTTATATAAAATGTATTTCAGATATTATTTATCATACTATATTTGAGAGGGTACTATAGAATGAAATTTAATAGGAATTTTTTTGATGTAATTGAACGAAATTTAATAATTGGCAGATCTTTAATAATATATAAATATTTTAAAAATAATAGTTAAATAAAATTATTATTGTAATCTTAAAAATAAAGCAGAAAAAAAAATCCCGAACAAACTCTTAAATCTAATTCGTTCTCCTAACTTCATTCCCAACCTCGCCCAAAACTTCTCCCAACAAGGTCACCTCAACCACCTAAGAAATTATTTGGTGCGGAGTCCGAACGTAGGGCTACGATCCGACTTCTAAACTCCTGAATTCAAAAGCCCATTTCGCATCTTTTGAACTCCAAAATTCAAATTCATGCTAGTCGAGTCGATCGGGCTGACAAGACATAAAGAAAAGATAATATACAAGTGAAAAATTCACATGTCTAGTTTTAATTGGAGTCCGGAAGCAGAGCTACGTCCGGACTCCGCACCAAATAATTTCTCCAGCCACATCAGTGCTCACATCAATGTCTCTTGCCACACCTTCTCATTCCTCTACCAAACATTTGTCCATTATGAGCACCTCTTTCTCTCCCTCCTATCATATGTAGACACCAAGATCAAAGCTCCTCCATACATTCCAGAGAAAGAAAAGATTGTAGCTTTGTGATACACACCTACCTACCTGGGCTTGTCCTCACGCGATAAGAAATTATATAGGAAAGGTAATATAGATGGAAGAGTAAATGCAATGAAGGAAAGAGTCTCTGTGCTTGACTAATAGCCTTTTTATAGGCAAATGCATTAATAGAAATAACCAAAGAAATAATAAGCAGCAACATGCAGTAGCTTCCTCCTATGTATTAGATAACTAATAAGCATGCAAGCTTTGCTACCACTAATATCATAAACTGATGAAGAGGAAAAAACACAAACAAATCAATCAAATACCTTAAGACTCAGACAACTCAACAAATTAAGGCTTCGTTTGAGATGGCTTTCTTATGACTTCTTAAAGCAACTTTTTAGTTAAAAAATTAAAAAGTTTGCACTAAAATGATGTCTTAAGAAGTAATAAGAAAGCCGTCCCAAACGAAACCTAAATTATTCAACAATCCTCCCTTAAACTAATAAACATAACATCAATTAAATTTCAAAAGTGTTCTCCATTAAAATGTGCAAAAACCAAGCAGTTACATAACTTCTGAAGTGTAGGCAACTGCAGAGGTTTGATATAAATGTCAAAAACTTAGGCTTCATTTAGGACAGCTTTCTTATTGCTTTCTAAAACAGCTTTCTAGTACAAATATTAGAAATTCAAGAAATTTTTGTATTGGAAAACTGCTTTAGAAAACTATCCCAAACGAAATCTTAAACGCAAGTTCTATGATAAATAAAATTAACGACTCAACCACGTTCACAAAGAAGTGAAACTTCAATATAGAAAAGTTTTTTTTTGGAAGGCTGATTGCTGAATATTGTTGCAGAAAATTGAAGTAGCATCCTCTTGTTTAAAATGCAACTTTTCAATAATCATCCTTATCCAAATATCATGACAAGCATAAGAAGTTGCAACGGGAAATTCAATCTCAATAGTTGATAAAGTGACAATTGGCAGTTTAATTGAAAACCATGAAATAACACCGAAACCAAGCATAAAAACATACATGAAGTATTCATATGATCGTATAGATCTCTGATTGTGAATAAAATCAAATAAATCCATCAAAATATTGCACCACACTTCAATACTAGGAAAATAATGCATCATTACAGGATAAAACATATCAAATTCAACCATAATGGGCTTAAAAATTTGAAACCTGACATCCTTATCTTCAATATGAATCAAGTCATCCACATATAAGCAAGCAATGAGCATTTTTCCTCCTCTTTTTTTTTTTGTAAAAAGTGTTTGTTCATAAGAATACTTTTGAAGTCATTCCTTCATAAATAAGCTTCTATATGACAATACCAAGCTCATAGAGCTGGCTATAATCTTATTTGCAAATTTCACATAGCCAAGAGATTGATTGATAAACCTGCTTCAAACTAATGGTCTTTTGATATTTTCAAAGTTCTATTTACCGTAAAGCGTTATAAATCAAGTTTATGGAGCTTATTTTAATCCATGTATGGCCAATTTTTTTAATTTATAAACCTTAACCTCATTTCCAAATTCCACATAACAAGGAGATTGATCAACAAATATCTCTTCTTCCAATTCTTCATATAATAATATTGGTTTTATGTCCAACTGAAAAGTAGGAAATGAGTTGTATGCTTCTAACATAATAACCTATCTAACTATTTCATGCATTGCAAAAAGAGCTAAAGCTTCTTTATAATCTAAGCCAAATTCTTGCTTATGGCCTTTTGCTACCAATCATGCTTTGTATTTGTTGACTTCACCCTCAAGTAACATTTTAAAATTTTATCAATCATGGTAATTTTAAGGGTTTTGCCTCCATCAGAAATATATATTTATCAAAGCACAAAGTTCATAATGCACCAGATTTAGTGCATTCTTTGCTCACCATGATTTCCTTTATGGAAATTGTCTTTAGTGTGGTTTTCTTACAACTTATTCTTCATAAACTTGAGAAGGAACTGTAATTTGAGGAAGATCAATCACTATATTATTCTATTGTATTGTCTTCAATCCACCTAAGTTTAGGTATCAAAGTGAAAATACTACAGAAACATGTGTCCTTCAAATTTTGCTGAGAAATCTGAATTAGGAAGATCAATCATTAAATTAATGCTTGCTCTCTTTCTCCTGCTGATCAACAAAAAATTTTACAAGTAAACAATTGAAATTCTTCAATATCATTAGATTATTTTATGGATCAAATAAGAAAATTAAATTCTGGTGCTAGAGATCAAAGGATTTTTCTCAGGAAGGGTCTAATCCTCCATCTTGCTATACCCTTTTCATCTTATTGCTGTTATAAACATCTAATTCACGATCTCCATTGCTCAAGAAAAATAATTTATCAAATTTATAGACAAATACATCAACAAAAAGTAACCATAGAAATACCAGTAAATTATCAAATTATTGGCCATTAATAAATGCAAAACACCATGACACAACACTAACCAACAAGCAACAACTTCCTCTTACTAATTAGTTGATGACCAGCCTCCTCTACTTTCACAATTGACTCGGAAAAACAAACTAACTGAACAAATGCTATAAGATTCAGACATAACAACTTCCCTTGCAGAGATCGACTTGTCTACCATCTCTCTCCTAAGGCCTAAAAGGGAATGAGACAGTCAAGAGACTAACAGAAAGATATGGAAAGCACTTGCTCAGGTTTAATCAAGGATGTTAAGGTTATTTTTAAATGAAATTGTCACTTCAGGAAAGTGCAGCATTCTTTCAACTAAAAAACCAGCATATTTATGCTTATTGAATATTTGTTTTTGGGTAAAAGAACACAATAAAGAAAATCTCTCTTTTGCTACACCAACATCGGGTTAGAGAAAAAAAAACCCAAAACATGAGTGAATCAAACAAATTAAAAGTAATGTAATGTTTGGTTAACTTAAACCGCAAACATAATAGATACCAAGCAAGCCTCTGTCGTTCAAGTAACCAGCTTCTTCGTAGGAATATGTGGATTCCTATACACCCTTTGTAGCATCTAAGCCTTTGGCATGTGAGATTAAGTATTCACTAGCCTGTGATATATGAACTCAGCAGCCAGTGATAAATGAACAAAACATAGGCATTAATGGTAAATACCATCATCCGTTCACTTGCGCTCCACAACTAGCTCATTTGAATACTATGCACACTTGCAAAAATACTCCGATGGTGCCACTGAACTCTAGATTGAGGATCAAAATCCTAGAAGAGTTCAAAAGGGCATGAATTTTCCTGCATACATCAAACTTTTCAGAGTTATATATTTCTCATTATGGGCGACTCAAAAACCTACCAATTCATAGCAGGGAGGCTCTTCTTTTCAGTCATGCAAGCATCAATCAAAATAACAATTTTACCAAAGTGAACATTCTGCGGACATAGAGCAAGACCTTACCAGTTAGTTCTCACTCCTGTTGCTCATGAAGATGAAAATTCAAGTATTATCATGCTTGATATCCATATCTTCATCTACCATATCAATTTCATCAACAATAACATAACTTGACGCTCCATTGGAGGTTGTGAAGTTTGTTGCTTCAGCTCCACCTATCTGACCTTTATGTAGTTTCAGGTATCTGAGAAAAAAGTAACTAATTCATTATAGGAAGATTTGAAGTGAAGTTTTTTTTTTAAAGATTTGAATTGAAGTTAAGACGGCAACATGTTGCAGTTAGGTAATTGAATTAAAATGAGTACTACTCACAACCGCACATAAAAGGAATGCTTTGACATTTCTCATTGCAATGACCTGTTTGAAAATCATGTATAGATTTCCAGACTCTGATGAAACTCCAATGAAAGAATTCTTGGCTATATTATTAGTTTGCCGATGAAAATGCTATGAAAAAAAGTGAAAAACGATGCCTTGTATTGTCAAAATGAGGCTCAAAACGTTGTCAATCTAAAATATTTGGACTCGAAAAATTTGCGCCACGGGCTCTCTGCACGTTCTTTGTTGACAGGGAGAGTTTTAACGGATTTAGGTTCCAGGATAAATTTTCAAAGACAGATTGAGTTTTAGATAAGACAATGCCCAAAGATTTCACCCTCCTTTTGCGAGGAATTTATGATTTGAGTTTAGGTTTCCCATAGGAGCAATCCCCTATGGTTAATTATCCCTCCCAATAACGAAAGGAAACTTTCAATTAAGGATAGTTGTTAAATAGGTCACAATAATTAACTAACATATAATAGCAGCAATTTTAGGGTTTGAATTTTGGAGTTTAAGATTTGAAATTACAATATATATTTAAAGCAGGTGATGGAGGAATGCTGACGAGCCCGAACAAGTTCCCATGATTCTGTCATTCTGAGCTATCATGGTCCCTAGTTTACTTAGTCATAATAGGTAGTCAACCCAACCTGATAGAAGAAACATTGTCGACAACCATAGGTTGCTTCATCCAAAAATATTTTATAGACCTGGGGTGGATGTTTGTCTAAGTCAACATTAGCTAACAGAGAGCTTTATATCTTATAACATGACACCCTACAATTCATTACTCATGGGGCTTTTAACCAATACAGAACATATGAGTTTTGGCCTTGACCATAAAATAATGGTATCATTTTATTGCAAAACCATTTGATCAGAGAGCATGCGTCACGTCCTTGTGGCGATAAATCAACTGAGAATGAATTGTAGAAATACATTCCACAAGACACTCTTTGTGAGTTGAAGTTATTCTTCAATTCATCATGATCGTCAAACCGTTGTGATTCTTGTGAAGTGTGAATTGATTTTAGTTTTAATTTTTTAGTGATTAAATTTTTATTTAGATACTTAGAATTTGATAGTTAGCGGTGGAATCAAAATGTGCAAGAAAAGATAGCAAATAAGAAGATTTGTTATAAAAATTAGTTTAGATGTAAAAATTCTAAAAATTGGGAAAAATATAAAGAGGATAGTAAGGAGTCTAAGAAAACAATCTCCGATGTAAAGATTTTAGCTATTAATAATTTATATAATAGATTAGGTACTAAGGCGAACAAAAGATATATATATATATAAGTTAGCCCAACAAAGAGATAAGAGTAGTACAAATTTAATTAACGTGAATTGTATTAAGGATAAAATTAAAAAAATATTTTTATTAGAAGAGGAAATTCAACAAAGGTGAATGAGATATTTTTATAAACTCTTCAATAAAGATTATAAGAATGTGATTGAATTTAGTGACCTTAGCACTATAAATGAAATTATATTTTTTTTTTTATTTTTATCAGCGTATTAGTAAAATAGAAATTAGAAAGGCTTTAAAGAAAATGAAGTGTGGAAAAGCTGTTGGACCTGATGATATTCCAATAAAGGTGTGGAAATGCTTACGAGACGAAGGAATTTCTTGGCTGACTAAACTTTTTAATATTATTTTGAAGACAAAAAGATGTCAGATGAGTGGAGAATGAGTGTGTTAATTCCTAATTTTAAGAATAAAGGTGATGCACGAGATTGTGTGAATTATAGAGGAATTAAGTTAACGTGTCATACTTTAAAACTGTGGGAGAGAGTTATTAAGCATAGGTTGTGGCGTGATACTAATGTTTCCCAAAATCAATTTGGATTCACGCCGGGTAGGTCTACTATGGAAGTTATACATTTATTGAGAAGTTTGATGGAGAAGTATAAGAGTACACAATTTAGATATCTTGGATCTATTGTTCAGAGTGATGGTGAAATAGATGTGGATATTATTAGTAAAATTCAAGTTGGATAGTTGAAGTGGAGGAATGCATCGGGCTTATTGTGTGATAGAAAAGTCCACCCTCAAATTTAAAGGAAAATTCTATATGATGGTGGTAAGACATGTAATGCTTTATGGTGAAGAATGTTGGCCATTAAAAGAGAAGCATAATATTAAGTTAAGTGCAACAGAGATGAGGATGCTCAGGTGGATGAGTGGTTTTACTCTTAGAGATAGGACATCAAATGAGCATATACATGAAAAGGTTGGAGTAGCTCTAATGGAAGATAAGATTAGAGAGAGTAGCCTTAATAGTTTGGTCACATAAAATGATAATCTTTCGATGACTCTGTTAGGAAAGTAGATGTATTAGACTTGACTTATGTTAAGAAAGGTAGAGGTAGACATAAAAAGACTTGGTTAGAAAATATTAGAAATTACCTTTCTTTATTAGATTTAAATGAGAATTTAACTTTCAACAGGGCACAATAGAGAAAAAGGATTCATGTTGTCGACCTCACATTGTGGGATAAAGGCTTGATGATGTTGTTGTTGTTGTTGTATGCTTAGAATTTGATAGATATTATATTTTACAATTTTTATAGGCTTTGAGAATTGATTTCTTCGGAGAAGATTACATTTAACATGGCTATTATCGGGGTGATTTTGCAATTACTTTCAATATATTGTAATTTTATAAGAATTTTGAGAGCATTTAAAAGTATGAGATCCCCTCCAATTGAGATTTTTTGTCAACACAGTCGTCATCAGGGTGACTGTTGTCACTTTAAATATATTTATATTTTGCATTAGGGTTTGAGCATTTTGAAAATAGGGTCCCCTCTATTTGTGATTTAAAGTCAATATGGCCATCATCGAGGCATTTGAGCACTTTTTAGCAAATCCGCAAAACATTCTCAGATATTGTATTTAGGAGCTTGATATAAAGATCGGAACACATGTGAAATCTAATATTTCTTCAAGCAAAATGGATGGAAACCTTAATTTCACAATCCCACAGCTTAATGGAAACCCTTTGAATATTTCCTCTAATAACTTACTGATGATGACCCAAGACTCTTTAATGGGTAGGAACATACAATGTCAAACCAACTCTTTTAGCGAAAATACATTACTTATGCCTTCTAGGATTGACAATTTCAAAATGTTTCTTGGCCATTTAGAGTAATTATCTTTCATTCATTTCCCCACTCAATGTTTGGATTTTATAATTCTGCCGTATCACTCTATTAACCAATAATTTACTTTTCAATTTAAGTATCTTATCCTTCAACTCTTGGGCCTCTGCATCCATGCTCACGCTATTGTATGTTTTTATCATTATGGCAAGGATGATATAATCAAGCTTACATTTATTTTCCTTTATGAGAAAAGCATTTCTTTCATTACATCTATACCTCTAGCTTGCCCAATGCATTGATTAATGTTAATGAAAGGAGTATGCAGGACAACACCAATTCAGTGTTTTATATTTCTCTAATGAAGAAAGGCATTTTCTCTACAAGCTCTGCTTTGACGTATCCGCTAACAAGTGCACAGTAAGTAATGGAGTCTGGTTTGATTCCTTGAGTTTTTATTAATTTAACATAATACTCCATCTTATCAACTTTTCCTGCTCTCCCAAAACATCCAATCAAAGTATTGAATGTAATTATGCCAGCAAAAAAATACCTTGTCTTCATAAAATTCATAACTTAGTTCATTTTCTCATTTCCAGCCTTACCATATGAATTAATTAAAATATTGAAATTAATCAGATCAAGGTTAATGCCCATGTCCTAAAACTCAATATACTACTTTTTCCACTTTACTTATTCTTTGACCATCTTTATATGCAGATATTATAGAGTTTGGTGTGAGTATGTATTTTGGAGAATTAGTCCTTTGGATTAAAAGAATGGATCCATGCTTTGATAGTGTAGCCCTTTAACTCATAAGAGTAGATCTAATACAAGGAAAAGTATATATGTGACTACAAAGAATGGATTTGATGAGGACATCAGTCAGAGATTTCGACATGTGAATCGTTGACGTAGTCGTGGATCGACGACTACAATTCAGAGTCTGTATTTTTTATGTATTTTTTGTTTTATGTTTCATTTGAGTTTTTCCATTTTACCCCTATGGGGAATTGAGTCTATGTTGTAGCCCGAAGGCACTTTAGTCTTTTCTGTTTTCTTTCATTTGTACCTATTTATAGAAGGCCTCTTGCATTATAATGGATGATGATTATTGATATGAAAAATTCAGCTTTTGCTCATGATCTCTTTGTGAGTTCTAGAGAGAGTGGTGAAGTCAAGGAGAGGCTCAAACGAAGTATCCAACATCCCCTGCGGGTAAGCTCTTGGTTTTCCTACATCTCTTCTTCTTCTCTCCCACTTTTCCACTACCCGAGCTTCCCCTTCTTCCACCCTACCCGACGGCCCATCGCCAGCTCCCCTCTTTGCGTCAACACCACCACCAAATCTCCTCTCCACCCGCCGACCCAAGGCCTCTCCCCCTTTACCCGAGCCAAATTCCCCCCCCCCCCCCCCACACCCACACAATGCCGACGGCCCACTCCACAATCTCCATCATTGTGATGATTTCCCTCATCATAGTTGCTTTCCTAAATTAAGCCAAGCAAAGAGGGAAAGAATTCTAATTATTTGAAATTCAAATTTCAAATTAGGAAATACTTTCCTTATTTGAAATTCTAAATTAGAAAAGTGATTAAATCTAAATTTAATTTGAATTTCAATTAGATTGTGATGTAGAACGGGTAGCGGGCTTTGCTAAGGAGAGGATCTCCTCTCCAAAAATCTGACAGCAAGCTTAGGTGAGGCCTTGGGAAATTTCAGCCTTGATGGTGAAGAGAAAAACTGAGAAGAAATTCAGATTTTGGAGCCAAAAATCTGAGAGAAATCTCAGATTTTCTCTTGAGAAAAACAGGAATTGCTGGACAGCAATTTGCTGTGGGTAAAAACAGCAACTAATAGGCTTCTTATTGCTGGAGACGTGAGAGCAGAGGTGGGAAAAACTGGGCTGCAGTATTAGTAGGTAGAAAGTTCCATGTGGGAGGAGTTTGAGAAGGATTGGGTGGAGAAAACCAACGTACAGAGCTTAGATTAATTCGGCTAGCACAGGATTGGAAGTTGTTTCCAACTTGAAGGGGCTGAAATTTGGGAACCAAAATTTGAGGTGGGCCTTGAGTTTTTCGGCCAAGGAAGAATCTCAGCTTTAGAAATATTTCCAAACAATTGCTGTGACTGTTAGGAAAGATTTCCTAATGTAATTCTAGAGAGGACTGGCGGGATTGAGAAGAGGAGGAGATTTTATTTTCAAAATCTGATTTCAGGTTTCAGGAAATAAAATTAAAGCTTAGGACTTGGGGAAAATTCGGTTAAGAGGAAATCTGGGGGAATTTGAAATATTTCCAAAAAAAGATATTTAGCTTAAGGAAATAAATCTAAATCCCAGCCAATGAAAGGGGCCGGCGGCATTAATGGGCAAGAGGGAATTTGGGGATTCTAATTTAGGAAGGAATGAATGTCATGTGGAGACGGTGGAGATTGGATGGGTCTAATTTAATTTGGAGTTAATGACTCATCTCCTTGCAATTCAAATTTGAATTTTGAATTGGAGAGTTAAAACCTTCCAAATATGGATCAACCCCAATTAGGAAAGATTTCAAATTTGAAAACCAAAATTGTCATGAATTTTCCCTCTCGATTTTGCCAACCCAAATTAGGAAAGGGGACTGGGAAGGGGAGATTCACGGGTTGGATGGGGGAGGTGGACGACGGGTGAGGGATTTGGCCGTGGGCTTGGAGAGGAAGGATGGGGGGGTCGGATGGGGTGAGATCCGGCGGCGAGGGTGGAGGATGAAGATGACTAGAACAATAAGGAGGAACAAAAAAAGCAAGAGATAAAAAACAAAAGAGAGAAAATAAACGATAGATGATAAAAACCGCGAGCCTCGGACTCTTCCGAAGACTAACGGGTGATCGGTTGCCCTTCTCCAAGGGACTTCAAATCACGAGCCCGGACCCATCATGCGGCTAGTGACAACTCCGATTCATTCCCATAGGAATCTCACTCTCGTCCTCTCTCAAAAAGAACACAAATGTGGGCATAAATTTTTAATATCAATTCTTCATCCCTATTACAATAGCTTAAGACCCTATATATAGGCAACAACATGAGAAAAATCAAAAATTACAAAATTGCCCCTTGGGCCATAACACTCACTCTAGGGGTAAAACAGGAAATACATTAATTAAGAACTAAAATTCATAAAAAAAATAAATCATAATTGAAGATTTAAATTATAGCCGTCGATTTACGATGCCTCCTGTGATAGATGCGCCAAATCTTCGTACCGATGTCCGCATCAGATTGGATCTGATAATTCCTTTCCTAACTTACATAGCTTGTTTTGGAAAATCTTAAATCCCTCCACAAAACCCTCCTCCCTCTCTTAATGCCGCTAGCCCCTTGATTGGGCTCCACCTTGGTTTTCCCGCTTAAGCCCCAACCCAATTTGAATTTGAAATCAAATTCAAATTCTTTCCCTCTAATTTCACTTAATCAGAAATTAATTTCAGATTTCTAATAATTCTTCTTAACCCTAACCTAGATCTAGCTCCCCCTCTCCACCTCCTCCTACCCAAGACCCCACCTGCCTCTCTCCTTTACCTCTTGGCCACCCCTCCCAAGTGGCGGACGCCCTGCCACAACACCACCACGACACACCAAGCCCTTCCATGATCATTTATGGCCGATCCGGAAGTTGATCACGGGCTTATTCTCAATTCTCAAGGGGAGATTGACGTCATCCAATCACCATTCTTTGACACCAGATTTGGATCTGAAAGCACCGTCAAGGAATACGTTGATCGTATCCTCCCCCAGTTAGCAGACATCATCGACGAACAAAGACCTATTGGAGAGTAGAAGATCACCGGACGGCTACCCGTTCCTCCAACTCTGACTCCTTCCCCGGCGACTAGCACCCTCGGCATCGCATGTCTTCTAGTGGCATCTCTAAGTTTGCTTGCAAAATTCTTCTGCTAAGCCAATCATTTTCAAGAGTGTGAGTGAGGGATCCCAAGGTGAACGATCTAATTATTAACTTGTCATTTGCTTTACTCATTTATTTGTTGTTATTATTTTGCAAATATCCTAGTAATCTCAATTGTAATCGCTTGCCAGTACTTAGTCTTTTCATGAAATTTTCTAAGATCAAACTTGAAGATGCATCCGTTTATATTTAGCCAAGCAAAGTTCACATTTTACTAATTTCTTAAAAGCAATTCTTGTTCATCATCATTGTTTCACATCAGGATTTGTATTTGGAAGTGTTGTCCTTTGGCTTGGAAGAGGTGGCACTTCACAAATGTGGCTGGTTTGATTATAGAGTGTTTGAATCCTTGGAAGAGTAATCTTCCAAAAGAGGAGAATTATAATGCCACCTAAAAAAAATTAAATATGTGGAATTTCTAAATGATTTGAAACATTCATATTAAATTCCAGCTTACACTTATTTCTTTAAGCTACTAGATGTGTGTGTATTTTTAAATCATTTAAAGTGACAAATTAATTGTATAAGGGTCCCTTGTCATTCAAAATTTTGACAACCTCCCAACGTCTAATCGAGAGAGGAGGGATTGGGCAAGGCTTCTCGCGTGCGGTTAAGGGAGATGAGAAGGAGCGGACTTGTGTGAGTGTCGAATGGAATGAGAGGGGCGAGTGGTTTCTACATGCGTGAGGGTCGAATGGTATGAGAGGGACAAGCGGTTTCAGCTTGTCTTTAATTAAGAGGAGTCATGCGGTTCTGTCGTTTGGGACGAATAGTTCTGTCGGTCAAAGAGATTGTGCTTGAGGTGGGGCCAATGGCTAGTCAGTGGCCAACAAAATCCACATCATTTATTTCATATATGTGAAATCCCCACTAAAACAATCTTGACCATCTAATTCCATATTTAAGTTTCAATTTGATATTTAATTACTTTATTTAAAGTAAAAATTCAGTATATCAGTTAAAAATATATTTTATTTGTATACTATAAGTAAAATTATTAAAAAATTTGAAAAATTTTAATTCAAAAATTAAGAAATCAAGTTCAATAAACAAGTCAAGCTCGAGCTCAAGCCTAAATTTTTTTAATGAGCCAAGTTCGAGCTGATTAAATGAGCTCAAGTCGAGCTCAAGTTCAAGCTCAATGGGAATTAAGCAAGCTCTGCTCGATAAGCTACAACTCGACTCGTTTCCACCCCTAGATTCAACATCATACAAACAGTAGTGTTATCTAGATAATAATATTATTAAGATAATTGATTCACTATTATCTTACTCATTGGATGCAATGTTATCTAGAAAGATTAACAGAGATTATCATCTTCTTTTATTATTACTATTATTATTTTGATTATTTGTTTTAGAAGTCAGATAACATGACTTTCAGATGTCGACATATTTGATTGTTGTCAAGATATTAAAAAATAGAACTTAAATGCTATTTATGAAATTATTATTTAAAGATATTAGTGAACCAAATAATTGTCATATGATAATAACATGACATTACGAAGCAGATGTTACCTAATTAAACAACCACTAAATTTGATTTATACAATCACAATAGGCACAAAGAATAAGCACATAATATTTGCAGCCACAATTGCCACCAAAGTTGCAATTTATAAAAAACAGTAAATCCACTTACTTGTACCAGTTGAATAAGCTAACTCCAACTATAATTACCAGAAGTCCCATGCCCTTCAGCACAGTAAATTGATCGTGGAAGTAAAACACTGCAACCTGAACAAAGAAAGCATTCATCTAAGACATAAATCATAAGCTATATATATATATATATATTAGAGAGAGTGGGTGGGGTATGCCTAAAGTATATTTGATCTATATATGAGAATCTATAAGTTTAGCAAATGAGGCTTATCAGAATTTGTAAGATACAAATGAGCATGTTGGAGAATCTCTTAAGTGTTTTGTATATCAGAAGATCTAGTAAGAAGCTTCCAAAAGATATTTTTCTTCCAAAGTAGTAGACCAACAAACGAAAAGTTGATAAATGTTCTCACAATATAAGTATTAGAACAATCCTGATAAACTTCAGTTTGAAAAAGAATTTGTAAGGTCCCAAATGTACATGTGATGATTCCATAAAGGAAGTGGAAAGTAAGGAATACTCTCAAGGCAGAAACAACCTTTCAAAGACAAAATTATGATTCCATATTTTCAAAATTGAAAATAATATACGGCATAAGTAGCACATGGAGCTCCCACCAATGACGATCTGGGGAGGGGTTCATATACGCAGCCTCACTCTTGCATTTGCAGAGAGGATACTAAGATGAATGTGAAATAAATAGAAAGTATAAATCTAAGAATGATTGTTATAGAGGACTAGTTGGAGTGACATTAATTGCAGGTAAGGTAATTTGATAATAGGCTTAAATAGTCTGAATATACTCAGAAAATAATAGAAAATGCACCCATTAGAATGGTGGATAAAATTAGCGACCTAGGATAACATGGATAGAAAATGTTTATAACAATTTACAAATGAAATATTTAATACCTTAGTCAGTAGCTCCTTTTTTTAATTTTTTTTTTTTTTACCTTAGTCAATAGCTCCTTAAATCTCACTTAATCAAGTTCTTAAAAAATCTATTTCTAACTAATTGATTTAGATCAAAATTGTTGAAATTTTTTTATTGCTCAAATTATGCCTAAGCTAATCAATTTCCTAAAATATGATAACTCCATCACCTCTAAGATCTATCAAAGATACAGAATGATGCAACTAAAACATGGAAATCAAGAACTTTTCCTTGGCTGCTAAATGACTAGATTGAGAAAACAATCAGCTGAAAGTAGGTGGGAAATCTTTGAGTACTTCATGGAGCTGCAGTGATCAAAGTTTGACTGTAGTTGGTGATCATTGGCTAATGAATAGATAGGTGACTAATGCAGGCAACCAACGAGTAGATCAGCCTTTTCTCTATTGATGTCAGCAAGCAGTCAAGGAGCTCCGACAACTGTAAGAACTAGTACATTCTGACGAGAGTTTGCGATATGGTCGATAGTTTTCAATAGTGGCTGCCAATGATGTTGACTGGACGAGTTCATGATTAGAGAACTGTAGTTGCTACATTAGTTGGTGGCCCTTAGTCAATGAGAGCCTTGCACGCAGTGACTATGTTGACCTCTTTTTGGACTAAGTTTAATCTCACCCATGGTAAACTAAGTAGAATCCTTAGCCCTAGAGAGTCTTCGTTCCTGTCTCAACCGTATCTTACCATAGAGCTTACTTAGACAAACTTAAAGTGGCTATTCCCAATCACCCAATTTCCTTAATTTCTTTAAGGCCCAGCATACTAGGCGTCCCTTAGGTAGCTCATCCCAAGCATTATTTAGAGGGACTCACCCATTATATATTTAGTAATCAATTAACTGACCCTAATTAGCCTTGGCCAATTGGTCAGACCCTATCCAATTTTCTTTCCTAATTCATTCAAAGAAACTAATCCAAATGATAATTAAGTCAAGCCCACTAAGTCTAACCGGTATAGTCAAGTCACGCAATGTCTTACCTCACCATATTAGCCAATCTGACCAAGCCTAACTGATCAAACAAGTCTAGTCTAACTAGTCTTACCTACTGTTGGCTCAAGAAAAACGACACGAATGCATGAATTCTGCTTTGCAGCTGTGCGATTTCATTTCCCTTAAGTCAGATTGTAGTTAATCAGATTTCCCCTGATGGCAGTGTCAGGGTTTAAAGATATGGGATCCTTCCTATGAGTGCAAGCACTCATAGTTAATAACCCCTCTTACTACGTAAGAGAGAACTTCTCCATTAAGGATGCATAAACTTTAAGTATTTTAGTCTCGATTGTGGGAAAAATGGAGGTAAACCAGATCAAGATCTCATGGTTCCGTCGTCTCGAATATACCGTAATTTTAGTCTACCAACACTAACAATCATTGATTGTAGTGTCCAGGGAATCTGATTAGCAGTCATGGGTTGCTTCCTCTCAGAGATCCCGAGTAAACTGAAGTGATTAGATATGAATTTTAATTTTATTGGGTGTTTAGGGGTTTACATCTATTAGAATACCCAGAAATTGATTTAGTTTGGGATTTATGACTTCGTTTAGAAGTAACCCAAGAGTTTGGATTGGAGCGGGACTTATGGCTTCCTTAGGAAGTAGCCAGGAGTTTGGATTTAGATTGAGACTTATGACTTTCATAGAAAGTAGCCCTGAGATTTAAATTTAGAATTGGGGCTTATTACTTTGTTTATGAGTTGCCCAAGGATGGGTCTTACAACCTAACACTACAGTGAGGCTGCCCTGAGGTTTTTAATTATTTGGATAGGACTTATAACTTCCCTTAGGAAGTAGCCTAAAAAACGAGTCTTACAACTTAATCCTTTATACTAAGATGCCCAAAAGCTTTAATTACTTGGGTAGGAAATCCTATGACAGAAATTCCACATGATTTCAACAAAGGAATCATAATTATTATATTTCAAAACATTATTTAAAGATGAAATTATTTCTTAAGGCTTTTGCCTTAATTTTTCAACAAGAGTTGTCCATGTGACTAGATTTGGGTAGGGACTTGTGGCTTTCATTAGAAATTGACCCAATGAGTGGGACTTACGATCTCCACTAAGGGTAGCCCGAATATTTTAGTTGGATAGGTCTTAGTACTTCCTTAGAAGTTTGCCTAATGATGGGTCTTACAACCTAGCACTTTAAGCTAAGTGGCCCGAGTTGTGGGTCTAACAACCAAGTCCTATAGATTAGGATGCCCAAGTGAGGGATCTAGGGTTGTATTATTACCTAAATGTTTCCCTCAGAGGGCGGACTTACGACTTCTATTAGAAGTGGCTGATATTTTAATTAGGGTTAGGGGTTAAGTCAATTTTTACCCTAAGGTTGGACTTACGATTTTTCCCTTTCAGCACTATTGCTCTACTAGCTTTTTCATACTTAGCTTTCTTACTTTCCAATACTCTGTTATACTTGTAGTAGCTTAGATTTATCAGCATTCATTCAATTTATTTATGATGCACTAATTCTTGTTTACTTGTTTGCAGATACGTGGTACATGCGGCAGTTCATGGAGCTCGCAGATAGTTGCAGAAGCTTGTGTAGGAGGGATCTTGGGGTACTAGCAGAGTATTGTTTTGTACTTATTTAAGTTGGTAGAGTTGTTTGTTTGGAGAGTTTTAGAGTTTGTGAAAGATTTTGTTGAGAGCTTGTATATGTCTGATTACTAGAAACATTATTTCTTTTCCTGTATTTTCTTTTACGGTTAACTAATTAATCAATTAACTAAAAAAATCAAATTTTCTAGTTAATTATATTAATTTTAATTCTCAAAACCCTCGTACTTTAAAACTCTCAAAATTTAAAGCTCTCGTATTCAAAAAAAAAAAAAAAAAATCATTTAGAACACTCTCTTACTTTGAAATTTTCAAATTCAACAATGCTCTTGTATTTTAAAGTTAACCTGTTAATTTTAACTGATAAATTAGTTTTGAAACGATTTAGCACAGTCTTTGATACCTCAATAACTAGAGGAAGAGAGGTGATGCTTTGACAATTAGAGATCTTAAATGTTTCAAAGGGAAATAGTATTTAAAATGCTATAACAATTCAAAAGTCTTCTACTCAATTTTAATTGTATTGGAATTTTTTTTAATTTTAAAAAGATGTCTCATTTAGAGACATTCAAAAAAGTCTCATTTAGAGACATTCAAGGCATCTCAAGAATAGTTTTTGGGCTAAAACGATAGCTAATAAATTCTCACTTATGCTGAGTGGCATTTGGAAGAGTAATGAGTAGGATAAAAATAAATAGGAGAAAATTCTCGCCCCTTTGTCTTATAGAAAAATTTTAAGGTAGGCTCTTAGTAGCAATTCAAATGAACTTAATTCAAATGATGTTTGCAAAGATCTTTTTTTTTTTTAAGAAATATTTAGATTTAGAGGGACTAGAGGAGAATGAGTGTTCGTAGGTTCTCCGCTCCCACACATTTGATGATATATGAGACTTTGAAGATCTTGATTAATCAATTATTTTGATTAATCTTAATCAATTTAATTTTTATTAAATTTTAATTAACTAAATTAGTTAATTAATATTTAAAAGTCAATTTTAACATTTCAATTAAATCAATATTCAAATTGAATTTTCCTCTGGATTTTGAGGAAATTTTGGCAGCCTCACGTCGTCACCTCCCCACTGAGGGAGAAATCGGTGTGGCATTTGCCAAAATTTCTTCATACCCGGACCTAAGGTCAACGGTGTAGGACCTTCGAATTTAAATCATCCCACCAGGATCTAAGATCGACTGCGTGGGGTCTTCGAATTTTATTTCATCCGCCCAGATCTAAGATCACGACGCAGGTCTTCGAATTGTGAAATCATCCGCCCAGATCTAAGATTGATGGCGCGGGTCTTCGACATTTGTTTGAAAGTCTCTCCTTTTTTTTTCTTCTTATTATTTTTTAACTATAATATTATATAAATTATAAAATAATATATTATGATATGTTTATATCATAGTATATATATTTTTATATAATATTATATTTTATAATATACATAAAAAAACGGAGTCGGCTCTTGCACAGTCAAATTCGACAAGGGTAGTCGTTGAAGGAACTTAGTCGAATATTTCACAAAGAGCATTAACTTCATTTCGGGGTAGTCTTATATTAAATGTGTAGCAGGATTTAAGTTGGATTTACACTAAATCCAACAAAAATAGACTTTGTGCATGCATTAAATCCCGACAATGGGTAAATCCCTCGATTCTGCGAATTTATGGGATTTGGCCGAAGATGCATGCATTTAAAACAGTAAATTAAAAAAAAAGGTTCTCACATAAAACAAAAAAGATATTTGCATTTACTCTGAAAAATACTAAAAGAAAAAGTTGCGTTTATAGCAGAAAACGCAATTCTTTTTCATTTTTTTGTAAAAATGCAATTTTTTTTTTGCATTTTAACAAAAAACACAATTAATAATTGCATTTTTTATCTTTTTTAAATTTATTCTTCATGATGGTCCTTTTCATATAAATTGTTCTAAAATGGTCGGAAATTTCTTTACGGTTAAATTCTTAAGCTTAATTTTCTACATTATAACAACAACAACAACAACAAGCCTTTACTATTATTATTATTACATTATAACAATAAGCCTTTTCTATTCTTAGTATTAATTTTTTACATTATAACAACAACAACATAAGCCTTTATCCCACTATGTAGGGTCAGCTACATGAATCCTTTTTCTCCATTGTGTCATGTTAAGTCAAATTCTCATCTAAATCTAGTAAAGAAATGTCATTTCTAATATTTGTTTAACCAAGTCTTTTTAGGTCTACCTCTACCTTTCTTAACATAAGTCAAACCTAATACATCTACTTTCTTAACCGGATCATTGAAAGGCCGGTGTTTTATGTGATCAAACCATCTAATGCGACTCTCTCTAATCTTGTCTTCCATTGGAGCTAATCCAACCTTTTCACGTATATGCTCATTTCGTATCCTGTCTCTAAGAGTAAACTCACTCATCCACGTGAGCATTCTCATCTCTGCAACACTTAACTTAATATTATGCTTCTCTTTTAATGGCCAACATTCTGCACCATAAAGCATTGCAAGTCTCTCTACCATCTTATAGAATTTTTGCTTAAGTTTGAGAGGGACTTTTCTATCACACAACAAGCCCGATGCATTCCTTCACTTTAACCATCTAACTTGAACTCTACAAAACCCATCTATTTCACCATCACTCTGAACAATAGACCCAAGATATCTAAAATATATGCTCTTATTAATGACTTGATAACCCAAAGTCACAATCCCCCACAAGATCTATTATTACTAAAATTACATTCCATATATTCAGTTTTATATCCACTCAAACGAAAGCCTTTAGACTCTAAGGTTGACCTCCATAATTCAACTTTACCTTCAACTCCCTCTCAAGTCTTATCAACAAGAAGAATATCATCAACAAAAAGCATACAACAGGTTACAAACTCTTGCAAATGTCTAGTGAGAACATCCATGACTAAATCAAAAAGATATGGGCTTAAGGTTGATCCTTAATGTAATCCAACTAAAATAGGAAAATACTTGGTCAAACCACCTTGTGTTTGAATACAAGTAACAATTGCTGCACACATATCCTTAATGACTTGAATATAAATATTATTAACTCCTTTCTTATGTAGAACTCTCCATAGCACTTCTCTTGGAACTTTATCATTTGTTTTCTCTAAATCAATAAAAATCATATGTAGATCCTCCTAATTATCTATGTACTTCTACATCAAACCTCCCAATAAATATATAGCTTCCATAGCAGACCTACCTGGCATGAAACCAAATTGATTTTGAGAAACATTAGTATCACGCTGCAACCTATGCTCCATAACTCTGTCCCATAGTTTTAAAGTACAACATATTAACTTAATTCCTCTATAATTCACACAATCTTGTGCATCACCTTTATTCTTAAAAATAGGAATCAACACACTCATTCTCCACTCATCAGACATCTTTTAAGTTTTCTATATTATAACAAATCCAATAAAAATCAACAAAAGCTCTTTTCAAGAAAAATCATGCTCGACCACTCGGACAATCTTTGTGATGATCCTAAAATCCTCAAAAGTCAAATTGTGTCTCCTTCGCAACTGATGTGAATTAGAACTAGTTAGTATTCTGTAAATGAATGAACAATTGTAAAGTTACACTAAATAGTTGGAATAAGACTAACGATGATGATGATTCTATGTGATATCCAACCAAATAAAATTAATATAGTATAAAATGGCAAAAGGCTAGACATACCAAAATTGTAACAGCTTCTTTGACAATACCGGCTATTGTTACTGTCACTGCACTAGTCGCTGAAACAAGGATATACTCGGTTAAAACCTGCGATCGGCACAAAAGATGGCACTTGAAAAAGGGTATTTGTCTAATAAATATCCTTAAAAGACTCATAAAATGATTATAAGCACCTAAATGCCCTAGAAATCTCTAAAGAATATCATTAAAAGAATACTTAAGATATAAGGATAATAAATTTATGGTCAAGACAAGTTTGAAACTGAAAGCTGAAACCATACCATGAAAAATGCCAAAGCCCCTCCCAAAAGCATCAATAAACAACTTCGAATCACGTGCTTTGAACTATCAAAGTACTTATTAGACTTAAGGTCATGCCATGGATCAAGTAGAAGAGAAAGGATTGCTGTAGCAAGTGCCATCACAGGAGTAACATGACTCATTAATGTGATGGGATTCTTTAGACCTGAATTAAAGAACACCAAAATGTCAGACGCAGAAAGATTTTTTTGTTGAATTAGCTCTACAAAAGTAAAACTAATGAAAAACTACCATAGTTAAAAGATAAAATTATAGATAGCCTCAAAACCCATTTTCATGTGAACTGGACATGTACCTGAACCAGAATACTCCAACTCTAAATTTCTAGCATATGGACTAAAAGAAAGTCACGAAAGAGGAAGCTTACCATAAGACTCTTTCTTCATGTTGTATCAGCAAACATAGAAAAAGGAAAAAAAAAAAAACAACCAAAAGTTAGATAGAGATATAATAAGAGTAGAACACATTGCAGATATGTTTGCATATTATCAAATTCAAGTGAACTTCGAAAGTACAAAAATAGAAGCAAATAAGACTGCATATGAAGACAGCTTAGAACTAAACCTGTAAGAGAATCTGTGTCATGGACCAACGGAAACCTGACATCACGGAGGCAAGCATAACAAGGACAAAACCCCAGAAATCAAATTGAGTCTCCTTTAAAACTGACATGAATTAGAACTAGTTAGCATTTTATAGTGTCGGGAAATAAGATAACCAACACATAAAACAGAACGTTTGAACTGAAATTCCGGTCTCTAGTACCAGTAGCCCACTTGGGTTCTGCATGGCATGAAAGCTTTTATGATGTAAGACGGTTTAGGATTTAAGATTTACTGATGCCATGTAGAATGAGATGCACAATGAATACACGCAAAAAGTCTCAATCAACATTACCAACTCATAACATGTGGAATAAGTTACTTTTAATGTAAAAACTGCTAATACACTTCTTTCATTCCAAGCAATAATCTAATAGTTGTCGAAACCTAAATTCCCACATGAAAAGTAGTGAACAGATATAAAGTTTCAACAACAATCAATATTTACACTACTAAAAGGAATCCAATACATATAACACTTGACAATACTTCATTAATGCACAAAAACTAGCCAATTTATGGATTAATATCAAGAATAATAATAGAAATCACCAAAAAAGAAGAAACCTTATACTGAAAGCCTTTTTTTTTTTTTTTGTAAGGGTAGGCTGAAGCTTATTTATAATCCTAGATGCTTGACTCAAGCGGGTGAACAACATTTCCATTTAAAAATCCTCAAGGGACCTAACAAGCAATGGAAAGAGAAATCTTCCCAAATGGACTCGTCAAAAATCTAATCTCTCAGGAAACGCCAACCCCTTCCCTATAAGCCTCCTTTGTGTAAGAGAGAGAACTCCGAAAATATTTTACATAGGTTATTATTAAATTTCTCCTCATGTTGTGTCAAGGTTTATTTTATTTTATTTATGTTTATTATTATTATTATTATTTTGGCTTTTAATAGGACACAATGGAGAAAAAGGATTCATGTAGCCGACCCCACGTAGTGGGATGAAGGCTTGATGTTGTTGTTGTTGTTGTTGTATTATTATTATTATTATTATTATTATTATTATTATTATTATTGTATGAGACAGAATGCAGGAGAAGTTTTCTAAGAGGTATATTATTTATATTTTAACCATATTTTTGTTGATGTTTTCTCAAGGTTTATTTAGATATGGGTCAAGATTTCCTATGCATGCTATCCCTTGTAATAAATTTCATCTCTGGCTCACAAGAGAGCTCTCTCAATTAAGGAGGTTGCTGATGGACCGGTTCGGTCCATAGCAACACCGGCCCTTAAAGGGCCGGTTCTCACTTACTGCAGGCGGAGAACCCGCCTGCCTGGGCGGACAAGCCAAGGGGGGGAAAGCTCTCGGGTGGGCCCCTTGGGCCCACCAAATTGAAGAGAAAGGTTGTGGTGTTTGCCCTAGGGGTAATGAGGGGATTTTGAGGGGTTCATGTGAAAGTTAAAAGTGAGTTAGGGTGGCTTTTTGGAGGGATCTCATTTTGGTGGCTGTTTTAGTTTTCTTTTTCTCTAGGGCTTGGGAGAAAGCTTCTCTTCTCGAATTGAGAGCATTGTATCCGTGGAAACTTGTAAGTCTTTTAATATTCAAGTTATTGAAGTGTTTGTGAGTGTTTTCATCCAAGAAATTCGCCATTTTTTCACTGTTTTTGGGCTGTTTTTCCTGGATTCCGAAATTTAAAAACCAAGTTCCATCAGATACATGCCTTTTTTATATGAAAAATCATACAGAGAATCATAGGCCATTTCCTTGTTGAAATGACTTTTACAAGTAGAAGGTAAGAGTGGCATTGATCCATGCTTTCTCATACTTTGTGTTAATACAATGAAGGTGAAATAGATATGTTGATTTTATATAGGTGACAAAATAAGATTGGATACTAGGACAATACCCCTTCAAGAGGTGAAGTCAATATACCTTGAAGACATTAGGTGAGCTAGAGCAAGAAAGTTGTGGAGGTCATTGGAGTTTGTTAGACTGAGCCTCCTTTAGAGGGGCAAATTATTGGGTTAGGTGACCGGAGGCGAAAAATAAGTTCGGATATCCAATAAACATTTGCCGCGTCACCTGCGCTTTTGACTTGCGCTTTAGTTGCGCTTTACTTGCGCTTTAATTGCGCTTTACTTGCGCTTTACCTGCACTTTACTTGCGCTTTAGTTGCGCTTTACTTGCGCTTTAATTGCGCTTTACTTGCGCTTTACCTGCACTTTACTTGCGCTTTAGTTGCGCTTTACTTGCGCTTTAATTGCGCTTTACTTGCGCTTTACCTGCACTTTACTTGCGCTTTAGTTGCGCTTTACTTGCGCTTTACTTGCGCTTTACCTGCGCTTTACCTGCGCTTTACTTGCGCTTTACCTGCGCTTTACCTGCGCTTTACTTGCGCTTTACCTGCGCTTAATTTAAAATAATATTTTATTAATATCCGGACCAATCTCCGCGTTCGGTCACCTGACCCAATAATTTGCCCCTTTAGTGGTGAAATATGACGTGATATAAACATAGCAACAAAGTAGTGTAGGAAAGACATGAAGGTCACTGAAAATGGCCAAAACAATCATTCTTTGTGTTGGAGATAGAAGAACCCGAAAGTTGCAATGAAGTAATGTAGGAAAGGTTGTGGAAGCCGCTAGAGGTGGTTGGATGAGTATACCCCTAGAAGTGGAGATGGCATGTCATAAAGATGAAGATAGAGCAATGCAGGAAGATGTAGATGCCACTCAAGATGTTCAGATTGGTCCACCCCTAAAAGTAGAGATGGAAAGACCAAAACATGATGAAGCAATGCAATAAGTTATGAAGGCAACTAGAGGTTGGGATTAAGGGGAGATGGCTCGACCTGAAGGTAGCAATGGAGTTGTGCAAGAAGGTCTTGGAGATGTCAGGTAGAGAAGTGCGATGTGTAGTAATAGTAGGGGCAACTGAAGATGGTTAGATCAGTCCTCCCATAGAGGTGGATATGCTTGTAGAGGCATTAGAGTGATGCAGGAAGGGCTTGAAGACCATCAGAGATGGTTAAATTGATCCTTCCGTGAAGGTGGAGATTTCCCAACCTAAAGGCAATTATGGAGCGGTGTAGGAAGTTTAATAGGAAGTGTGTGAAGATCATTAGAAGTGCAGGTGCTTAGATATGTCTCCTTTTAGCGGTGATGGCATGATGTGAAGGCCATGACAAAGCAAGACAGAGAGGTCATGGATTGCACTGACTAACGATAGCCAGATTCTATGTATTATATATATTTTTTCACAGATATATATATATATATATATATATATA